AGAAAATAGATAAAACTTTGTTTTTAAATTTTCTTAAAAATCATTTAATCACCAGTTACTTACCATCACCTGAGGAAGTACAATCAAATTATTGAAACATGAAATCTTTTGTGCGGAAATTTCAACATGCTTTTATTACAATCTCTTATAATAAAAATAATAATATATTTCTCTACTTTGTATTGAGCACTTTTTAAAAGTAAATTCTATAAATAGTGTAATTTTACTCCATCTGTTCTTTCTCTCATTTGGATAGATTATATAGGGTGAGTTGAGCACCGTCTGTAAAAAAAAAAGAGCACTATGACGCAATTTACTCTGCCAAAAATTTGGAATCGGCATGCTGTACAGCTCCACATTTGCACCAGATGCGCCAATACAAACTTTTCAGAGTGTTTGGGTGTCAATCTGAGGACAGGGCAGAGGATTCGGAAAGAGTTGGATGAGTCTAATGGTGATTATTAAGGTACAGCAGTTTGGAAAATTTACTCTGATCGTTCTGATAAGAACTACCAAATTTGTTGGTGAAGACCTCAGACTAAACACAGAGGCCTACATCAAATACCTTGAGGAGGTAGTGCTGCCCTGGGTCAAGAGGGTGGTAACTGGAAGACCCTATGTCTGGCAACAGGACTCTGCACCATGCCACACAAGCAAGAGAACTTCGTCATGGCTGTCAGACAATTTCTGCAATCACATCACCCCTTACATCTGGCCACCTAACCCCCCGGACTGGAACCCCCTTGATTATTATGTGTGGGGTGCAGTTGAGCAAGAGACCAACAAAACTCCTTGTAACACCAAAGATCAACTGAAGGCAAAGATGATGGCAGCATTCACCAACTTAAACAAGGAGACCTTCCAGAAGAGTTGCTGGAGATTCCAAAGTCGTTTGGAGGCTGTGGTTGAAGCCAATGACGATTTTACTGAATAAATTTACTCTTTAGTACTTAAAAGGTATTTTTGTGTAAGTTTGGTAAATATATCTCTTAAAATGAGATGTCAGTGTTGTTTTCATTTTTGTGTAATTTAAACGACAATTTATCCATCGCACCCCGTATATTTAAACGTCATAAAAAGACATAAAGCTTTGTGATTCATGTTGGTGTTCGTTTGCCTAAAGATAATGCCAACCAAAAATTATAGGTCTGATGCAGTTTCCCCTTATAGACAAGATAAACGGGAAGGAGCCTTTCCTATTGGCTGACGTTTTCAACAATTAATACAAATTGGTGGCATTATTGTTTAGTTATTCTTAATCTAAGTAAGGCAGTGCACAAAATGATTAAACGTAGTTTGCTGCTGGGGTATTTGTGCTGTCAAGTGATCAATGATAGTAGATTCATCCGGGTGAGATAGTATAATGATGAAAGACCCAAAACTATCAATGAACCTACTATTAACATCACTGATGACACATCCTTTACAATATGTATTATTTACACTATCTATACTGTTCAGACCGTTGTCCTCATCTTTATTGTCATATTCATGATGTTTCGGCTGTTGTATGCTCTGGTCTTCTTCAGTGATATTTGTTGGAATTTCAAACAGAACTCTTTATTTTGTCTTCCAAGATAGACTGTTCTAGTTTTAATAGTTCAAAATATTTTTATGTAATTTTGGTAGATATATCTGTTCAAATGAGATGTCAGTGTTATTTTTATTTTTGCGTAATTTAAATGAAAATTTATCCGTTACACGATATATATATATATATATATATATATATATATATATATATATATATATATATATATATATAGTTGTTAGTATAGAGAGACAACCAGCCAACCAGCCATGGGAGCTTGAAATTGAAGAGAGCAGAATCCAGCTTGTACAATCTTATTTACCTCACCAATGGTAGGCATCTTGGATACCCATATATAAAATGCCGCGAGTTGAGTGCTAGGGCAAATGACTCCAAAGCTCGTAACCACTGGCTTTGACCTTCAGTATGACAGCTTTCAATTTTTGGCTCTTACAAGAATGTAATAAAAGACGACTGAAAGCATGACAGATCCAAAGTTGGATTGGAATAATAAAAAATGATTTTCAGAAACAAAGCAAAATATTAAGACAAAGGAAATTTGTGTTAGAAATGAAGAAAAGAGTGCTGAACTGCTCATATCAATCCTCATATATGGCAGTGAATGGTGGACAATTACCCAAGAGATGGTTTGGTTTGGTTAATTTTGTTTAACAGCATATCAACCTCAATGGATTATTTAATGCTGACAACATTTTTAAGATAGATTCGTATGAATAGAGTATGTATTCTTTGGTTTAGATTGTTTTCGTTTATTTTGTTTTATGGCATATCAACCTCAATGGGTTATTTAATGCCGACAACATTTTTAGGATAGATTTGTATGAATAGAGTATGTATTCTTTGGTTTAGATTGGTTTGGTTTATTTTGTTTTACGGCATATGAACCTCAATGGCAAAGATTTTTATTGCTGGTAATATTTTTTTTGTCAAAAATCTGTTTCTGGTAATATATTTCCTTCAAAATTATATTCCTGGTAATAATTTTTTTCAAAAAAGAATTGCTGGTAATAGTTAACTATTTGCCCATAGCTGGGACCCTAACAGGTGCTACCACCCCAGGTCAGAGTGGACCTGGGAACACCAGCAATTAAGAGGTGGTTCCACGCTGCTCAAAACCTTCTGATCAGAGGCCATGCTGCTGGATGTAGTTTAACATCTTACCCAGTGCGAATGTAGTTTAATGCCTTACCCAGGATGCGAATGTAGTTTAACGTCTCACCTAGTGCGGATGTAGTTTAACGTCTTACCCAGGATGATCTAAAGAGATGGGGAACAGATACAAAGCAAAAGAGAAGTGGTTCTACAGACGGATGCTAAAAATGCCATGGACTAAACATGAAAGTGACAAAGATGTTCTCAATGAAATGAGAAACTAGAAAGATTTTCATACTTGATATCAGAAGGACATATAGTTTGTGCCTGCAATTTTCACAGTCCAGGAACACGTGAATATGTCTACATCTGTGTAGCATTGTTTAGTGGCATATCAACACCTATATGGGCTATTTAATGCTGAAATCTAAATAAAAGTTAAATTCAAACTTTATCATCAATTCAAGAGAATGTCATTATTTAATGATTAAATTACTTGGTTACAGTTTTCTTATTTATCAAATCTTACAAACTCAAATGAGGAGTGAAAGGTTGTTTCTCTACACAAGAAATGAGATGTTAATCAAATTTTTTTTTTTAATTTTTTAGCAATGCAGGCTATGTGTTCAGATTTACTATAAAACATATTGTTGGTCATTTTTACTATTAAAATGTGTTGTTCATTATATTTTTTTAATAAAAATGTATTGTTGGTATTTTTACACTTTCCTAGTATTTTAATATTTACTTGCAAGTTCACTATTTGGCCATAGCTGGAACCCTAGTAGATGCTACCACACCAGGTCAGGATGGACCTGGGAACAACAGTAATTACAAGATGGTTCTATGCTCCTCAAAATCTTCAATCTCCTAGTCAGAGGCCTTCCTGCCGGATGTACTTTATTGTCATGTTCAGGACTAGAGTAGCATTGTATTTCAATACACAGCCATATATATATATATATATATATATATATATGTATATATATATATATATATATATATATATATATGTAGTAACAAATAATTCACCATGGTGAAGGTACTGCTAGCACCCTTCAGATGGTGAAGATTGCGTGAGTTTGTTGACAGTTCCACCAGTTCCACCTTTTTCGATCCATTCAACCACAGACTGTCCACTAGTATCACCACTGAATTCGGGGATCAGTTTTATATCGAACGGTTGATCGGATTCTTCCTCTGTGATTGAATGGCGGTGCCCTTGCTGTGTATAGGCAGCTGAGTAAAGAACAGAAAAGTGACATTGAGCAAAGAAAGCACGCTCTACTAACCAACCGCGTTTGAACTGATCGGTTCGTGGCCTATGACCAATTCCAGGCACGGCGTCTGCGACTAAGGCGAGACAGTAGACGTATATTTGGCAGAATTAAAGAAGCTCGCCGTTTCAATCACACTGCTTCCTGAAGAATGGATGACATGTGCCTTCGTTTCTGGATTGCACAGTCATGTTAAGCAGATACTCTGCGCATGAGGTTGTCAGATCAGAAGAAACCTCAGAATATAACACACAATCTCCTCCAACAGTCGCCCCGCTCCGGAGAAGCTTAAGAATAAAGAGGCCCGCCCATGAGTGTCACTTATGTGACAGGGGGGAGTGTAGTGAACAAATAATTACCATCGGAGGTAGGGCTAGCACCTCTTCAGATGGTGAAAAGACTGTGCGTGAGGTTGTAAGACCAGAATATATATATATATATATATATATATATATATATATACACACACATACATACATGATCAACTAAAGGTATGCAAAAATTTATTATTTTTTTTCTAAAGTTGTAGATTTTCAAAATTATATCTTATAATCAGTAATACCAAGAATGCTAAATTTCCTCTCATTTCAATCAATTTAATTTAATTTCATATAAAATTGACTTGTAATACTTGATTTCCAACAGTTTTTCAGATATATAAATTTAATTAACATCAAAAGGTTTTTCAACTGTTCAGTCAGGACTCTGAGGATTTAACAATTGAAATCTTGTTAAAGGCTTATAGTATTAAAGAATCCAACATTGCTTTGATCTACAAGGAGCAGGAAGTTGTAGAGAGCTATGGTCGCATACATCATGAAGGGACATGGCATGTAAATGACCATGACCTTCACAGATTGCCTTTATTAGACAAGGGTTTCATAAATCCTACCCAGGGTATCTTAAATTACATAAACAACTTCATTAAAATTTATTATAAACAAAATCATTTTTTAATTTATTTTATTTTTATGGGTGTACCAAGCAAGAAACTTTCATTACAGTACATAGACTATTGTTAGGATATTTGATATCATTGACCTTAAACAAGTGGGGGTAGAAGGATGACATTTACTTACCAGGAATTACAAGGAACATGAGGTTGCTATCTTTTGATGAATGTGTTGAAGTTGCATTGGGTGATGGCTCTCCAAACTTCATTACTTGGACTGGCACCCCAGGCTTCAAGCTCACCCACTCCAACCTACGATTCACAGATTGGCAATCCATCATGAATAATGGTCAAATACTCGATAGACACTGGAATTAATAATAAACAAAATAAATAGAAGTTTGGAACCAAATGATGAAAAAAAAAAATGCCTTTATTTTATACAACAAATACTTTTCATTATAATCCCTTTTGTCAATGTACTTGGTTCACTGACACTTAATCACAGATTAAACATTAAACCAATAATTCAGCTAATAACTGTGTTGAGTCACAGAATTATTAATAATTTTTCATATCAGGAGAGAAAGAAAGAGTCCATAGTATAAATTTTATATATAGAGAATTTTTTTTTCATGGTTTCTCTATAGACAATTCTAGAGAATGGCCACATTAGAATTGGTCAGCAACAAAGGTGATTTTGACAATTTGGGGAAGAAATCAATATGACAGAAAAGCAAGTGTGTGCATTGGACCAGGTGGATAGGTAAATTGTCACCATTATATATTTTTAATTTTCACAGATGCACATTTGTTTGTTTAGGATTTTGACACAGTAGTGTCAGGAGGACACCATCTAAAAGACAGAAAGCACCATGACACAATTCACTCCACCAGAAATTTGAAAATGGTATGCTGTACTCCCCTGTGTATATATATATATATATATATATATATATATATATACACACACACATATATATATATATATGAAAATATATAGAAAATAGGAAAAGAACTGGTTAGGTAAATAATCCAAAGTTCATAATATTTTTGTTATTATTTTTAAAAAATAGTGCTCGATACAAAAGTAGAGCATAAATATAATTATTTATTTAAAAATATGATTCAACTCACGACATAAGAGGTCTCATGTTTCAAAACAAGGCCGAAAAACTTCAATATAATTATTTGAATTAAATTGAATTAAAGTAAGCCTATTCCATCTTCAAGCGAAATTTTTTTTGGAATAACTTATTTCTGAAATTTACCTGTTTTAATAGTATATTCATAATTGAAATCAAAATTTCCATGGTAACAGCCAGGGTGAATTGTTTAAAATAGGTAGGGGCGTGTTGGGTGTTAATAATAAGTATCAGTGTAGAGTTACTTTCATAGATGTCAAGTCTGGGTAAGGTGGGGGTGTCTAAATTTGAAACGGAAGATGTTTTCACATAGTCTGGTTTACGTGTCTATGGAGATTTATTTATTTTTTTATTTTATTTCTTTATGAAAGGGTTTTGTGTATATAAAAAAAATGCCATAACATTTGTTTTTTTGACGACTTCATAAAGGGTTATCTTTTTTGTAGGGTATTTAAACTATTTATTTGGGCTATGGATTATAAAAATTATTATATTATATTTGTTTTTAGCTAATTATTCAATGCAAAATTTGATGATGTCGGCAAAAAACCGTTAACTATTATTGTTTAATAGATTTTATTATTTAGAAACTTAATAATGTGCAGTTTCTCATGGAGGCACAAAGGGCATGGGTCATCCCAAGTTTTACAAGTTCTAGTCCTGTTTATAATTTTCCATTTTACTTTAGGTGTCCTATTTATTTCCTTCAGATGCCAAAATATTTAGATAGGGAAGTTTGATTTCTTTATATATTTATATATATTGAAATAGATCAAATGCAGATCCATCTGGATTTAAATCATTCTTCGTAAACCCAATGTATATCAGATTAGTAATAGGACTCTCATGGATGAAAAAGACATTGGTATACCTAGTATTTTCAATGCAGTTTGACCATTTTCTAATGGGCAGTCTTCTCACGTTTCTAAATCATAATTTTTATACTAAGTTATTGAAGATTTAAGTTCTATGGTTTTTACAGACAAACTATTCAGGCAAAGGGTTTGTTCAAAGTTTTATTATGTTAGATTTTTGTTATACCTTCTATTTTTTCTTTTATTTTGTAAAAAAGTCAATTTTAGGTATTCTTATTAAATATATATATATATATATATTGGTGGGGGAAGTGTTTATATAGTAAAAAATATTTTGTCCTAGTTTAATACAACCATTTTAAGTTGAACGGAGGGGTATACCAAATGACGTTTCATATCACTGTTTTTTTTTCTTAAGGACGCTACTTGTCTCTAACAGTTAATTTTAATTTTTTGTAACAAACATTTTTTTCTGATGAAAAATTGAAGCCATTGTGTTGTCAAATATTTATATAAATAAATTAATACTTTCATTTTCTAAAACATTATAATATTTAATTTATGGATGGAGGGTGGTTTGATATATATATATATATAAATATATATATATATTTACTATAAGGTTGGTATCTGTTGCTTGGTTGTCTATGAAACTCATAGTTGAGCTACCGGTTAGGGTAACAAATATAGAGAAGACTTTTTTAAATTTAAGTTTAGATTTTAAATTCACTAAATATAATTTTTCTGGGTTTTACTGATCTGGAAAACTTAGAACTCCTCAACATTACCATGAGCCCCGTTGTAATCTATACAGTCCGATGTCCTTGACATCAATTTCAAATTTTTGCACGTTAAAGTTGGCTGGAAAAAAGACCAACAAGGTCAAAGAGAATTCTAATGAGCCCATAGTGCCATCAAACAGGTTGTTATTGTTTTTTATCCATTGTTACTGTTATAATTTGGACAATTTTTTTGTAAATTGATGATATCTGTTTCTTGTATTGTCAGGTTAAATTCAAAAAGTCAAAGTTCCATGGCAAATGTTATCCAAAAATTACCATTGAAATTGATTTATAGAAATTTCCGCAAAAAGGACATGAATTTGGGTGCTAAATATCATTTTATCATTGGTATAGCGCAACCAATTGATTTTTTCGTTATATGGCTCCATTGTTTTTATTCAGATGTATTTTTATTTGGCAAATAAATTTTTCCAATATCCTTTTCCTGATATTTATCAAAATAAAATAATAAACAAATAAGAAAAAAAAAAATAAAAAACTAATAATAATATTTACTATATTTAGTCTATAAACAGGGAATCATATCATTCAAACCTTTCACATAGTAAATAGTTTACCTTGACTGTATCTTATTTATGTGAATATTTACGAGCGTCATTAAATTTAAATTTTTAAACCTAATATTTTTTTTTACTTCTATTCATAAATAATTGATGTAAAATAAAATACATATATATATATATATATAATATATATATTTATATTTTTAATATATATATATATATATCAGAGAAAAAAAATAAACACAAAATGTTAAATATATATATATATTATTCAAGAACATTTGTCAAATATAACTTACGTATTTTTATATATTTTACACACATCATTTCCTATGTATATATTCACATATATATATTAACATAAATGGGGTTACATATATATATATATATATATATATATATATATATATATATAGACACACATATGTATATATACATATATATACACATTATATATATATACATATATATATGTGTATATATATATATATATATATATATATATATATATATATATATATATATGTACACACATATATATATATATATATATATATATATACATATATGTATATATATATATATATATATATACACACATATGTATATATATACATATATAGACACACATATGTATATATACATGTATAGACACACATTTATGTATATATACACATATATAGTTGTACATGTGTATATATACATATATATGTGTACACATATGTATATATGGTTATATAGACACACACACACATGTATATATACACATATATATATACATATGTATATATACATGTATATAACACACACACACATATATATATATGTATATATAGACACACACAAATACATATATATATATATGTATATATGTATACATATATATATATAGATATAACACACAATTATAAATATATATATTTATATAGAAACACACACACATATATATATTCAGTATATATAAATATATATATATGCACACACACACATACATACACACATATATAGACACACACAAACACACATATATATATATATATTTATATACACACATGATTTTTTTTATATATATACATATAGACACACACATATATACACACATATAGCAAATAAATTTCATATATATATATATTTATATATATATGTCTGTAATTCATTTTAATCATGTATATTTCGATTTATATACAGGAAATATATATTTTTGGTCAAATTATATTACACACACACACATATATATATATATAGACACACACATATATTAGACATATAGGAATTGGATCAAATATAGTACATTTTTTAATCACACACACACATATATATACACTATATACTTCAGTCTGTCATCTATATACACATATACTTGCACACCATTTAAATAAACAGATAACACACACACATATATACACATATATATATTTACACATATATATATATATATATATGGATATAGATATAATATGTATGAAGAAAAATATACGGAAAAATAAAAAAAAAACCTAATATGCAATTATATATTTTAATATTAATATAATGTCATATATATATCGGATAGATCGGTCTAGTATATACACATATATTAGACACACACACATATATATATATACATATATAACACACACACATATATATATACGGAGCGTACAACACATTGAAACGTTATATATATATGGCGACAAAAATGAGGACAATAGTCCGAATAATGTAAATAATGTTTTAAATTTAAAATATTTTTAATAATATAGATATATATAACATATGGCAAAAGTAAGTTACACAGGATGCATAAGTGATATATATTTATATGTCTATATAACACACAGGTGAGTACATATACATATTATAACATTTTTTTTACAATATAATTATTATTTATATTATTTTATATATAGAAACACATATTATATATATATATATAAGAGACACACACATAATTTAATCATTTTAGACACACAAATTATATACACATATATATATGTTGGTTTGGGAAAGACATATTCACATAT